CGGGCAGAGGGAGGACTTGGGGAGGGGGCTATGAAGAGGCCCGGGCTCCAGGAGCAAGGACAGCCTGCTGGGAGTTGGGGGTTTCTTCCACTTAGGGGTACCATGAGCTCAATGTGCCTGTTGGATCCCAGTCTCGAGTCCAGGCAGAAGCCTGGCCCGAGGTCCAGGTTTGGGGGTTATTAGCACAGGGTGACTGTGGAAGAGTGAAGGTCTGAAGAGCTAGCAGGGACCTCCCCACGAGGGGAGAGGAGCTGGGCGTGGGCCCATACCCGAGGAACAGCCCCCGTGGCCCCCAAGGCCCTTCCTCTCCCCAGTGGGCGCCCCTGCAGTCTACATGGGCCTATGGCACTGCCAGCACCTTCTCTGCCCTTCCATGGCACATGGCCTAGCACTGCACACGTCGTAGGTACTCCCGAATACTTGCTGATTGATTCATCAGTTGGAAGGAGACAGCTGGATGCAGAAGGCACTCCCATGTGTCAGGCCTCAAGGATGACCCAGAAGGCATCACCCGCAGCAGTGCCTGGGGCTGTCCTAAGTCACACTTTCTGCCTCCTGCCCTTTAAGGCAAACAACTGTGTTCATCTGAACCAGAGTCCTCGACCTGGCATACCCGCGGATAGAAAAGAAACACGGGATGACACATCCCTCCAGCTCCCAAACTCTATGTTCTCCCGAAAAATACAAACAAATCCACGTATTTAAATACAGGCCACCCACTTGCATGGAAGGCGGTGGATGCCTGGGTGACAAGAACATGCGGTTCTGGCCGGGTTTACGTGGAAGTCTCTTCCTGAAACCCCTCATTCTCGGACACGTTGGCCCACCACCATCCTAGCTCAGCACCTTTGTTCTGATGCCCTTGTCAAGTCTGTCTGCAGGCCTGCCCCTCGCAGGTGCACTTGGGGCTCTGCTCTGATCTACATAAAATCTCAAATGGTTCCTAACACCAAGGACCTTGCAATTTGTTTGTCCTCGAAATCAGCCTGCTGCCACACGTCAGTCTGTTGCAGGTAGGGGAAATTTCCTAAAGCCTTGTTTTAAAGCAGACAGAATGATTTATTTATTTAGCACTCACGGCTGGCTTTGCAATTTGTGGGAGAACCAGGCTCCGCCCTTGCCCTCGGAGAACTCCTGTCACAGGCTAAATGTCACCCTTTTGTGAATTCACAGGACTTCAGAGCTCAAGGGGTCACCCAGGAGCTCACCTAAGTCCTCTGTCCTTCCACGGACCGGGGGCACAAGGCCGAGCAGGGCGAAGTGACATAGGAGGGAGCTTTGGGTCCCCAGCTGTGTAGTCTTTCCTGAGAGGCGAGTGAGAGCCCACGTTGACTTTCACCGGGAACCAGACAGCTGCCTCCCGTTGGGGTTGGCCGAGGTCCCAGCTCTTTTCCTGTCCCTGAGGCATAGGTGGTATTTCCACCCGGCTGAGTCACCAGGGTTTTTTCCAGGTGGAGATGGTAATTACCAACCAAGCAGAGCCCAGAGTTCCTTTGTTGCTCGTGGAGGCGGCTCTGGGCTGCCAATTTAGGCACAAGTCTCTCTACACAGATATGTGTCCTCAAAGCCCGTTTAGGGGACATACGGAGAGTCCTGGTCGCTGTCCCTGACACGAGATGTACTGAGGATGGTGACCACGGGCACTGGCGCCCTCCTGCATCGGACCGGCAGGCACCCTGAGGGCCCCTATCAGATAAGCGTCTGTGCAGGAGATGCGCTGTAAGCAAGGCGCCAACTCTTTCCTAGGCAGATGCTGCTCATTCCTCATAACAGCCCTATGATCCCTGTAGTAAAGATGGAGGAACGCAATTTAAGGGAGCTCAGGTCACTTTGTTCCTTATCCTGAGGAGTTTACCATGCAGGCAAGTCAAGAAATACAAAAACAAAGCCAGAGGGTCAAAGGTAACACACTGTACATAATCACAGGGAGAAAGGAGTATGTAGGGAAACCTTCATTCAGTCGTTCAACAAACACCGGATTTAGCCCAAGGTAATCCCTGTTCTTGGTTGGGTTCTGCCCAGAACTCCTGTGTCCCACACATCTCTGGTGCTAATTTGCTGATGCCCCGGGTGAGTCACTTCCTTGCCTTGGTTTCCCCCTTTAGGGGGACCACACTGGCTACCAACGCTGTTAACAAGGATGCTGTGGGAAGAAGGAGGAGCCAGCCTCAGAGTGTGGGTTCTCAGGGGAGGGGGTGCAGGCCTTTCCCCTATAATTTATTTGTAGCTCTGGAGCTCGTGAACTCCTCCCCATCCCACTGCTGACGTATGTGCAATGCCTGCGGGTTGTCACATGCATTAATTATCTGCTGAAGGTTATAAACTACTCCTCGCTTTGGCTGGATCACTCCAAAGAAAAGGGCTTTATCACTGTTGCGGTTAAATGCAATCGCAGAGAGCTGGAGAAGGTGGAAAGGAAAATCGCTCAAGCCAAAGAATAAATGACATTTCAGAAAAAGCAGTACAAGTAGATATGAAGACCAATTGGAATTTAAAGTGACAACAGGTCCGATGACAGAGTTGCAGATTCTGGGTTGTTTCGGGCTAGAAAGGGGCAGATACACACGGAGCCAGACAAGAGGCCCTGTGGCAGGGAGCAAAAGGTTTGATCCTGGGCAGTGTCTTAACCCTTCTGTGCCTCAGTTTTCTCATTCATGAAATGGGACAATAATCACACTGAACTTGAAAGTGACAATAAGAGAATACAAATTTATATGCTTAGTATCTAACAGATGCTCAAAAATCATAGCTATCATCATGAAGAGTCACAGCAGAGGAAGCAAAAAGTAGGCACTGCTTAGAATAAATTTCATTTCGTTGGACTAAAATGAAGCTTTGTTTTAAAGGTCCCTGTCTCATTTGTTTCCAGACTGTATGTCACCTCACCATGCGGCACAGAGACAGACCGTGGTATGCTGGTAAATATAACAGGCTCCCGGGGAGGGGGAGAGCCCTGATTTGTAGCATGTGCCAGTCTCCATGGGGTGCATATTCCCACCGTGGCTGATTTCAAGCTACCAACCTGACGTTATTGAATTCAGTCAGGAAGAGACGTCAGCAGCTAGTCTTGTCATTTCCGTGGAGTTCCACTATAAAGATACCACAGACGAGAGGGTAGATGATGGCAGTATGTAGTAAAGCCATCAGGAAATGATGGGTTTGGGATATTTATTACCTTTGTTTTTTTAAAGATTTTATTTATTCATTTGAGAGAGAGAGAGCGAGAGGGAGCAGGGGGAGGGGCAGAGGCAGAGGGAGAAGCAGACTCCCCGTTGAGCAAGGAGCCCGATGTGGGGCTCTATCCCAGGACCCTGACACAGGGCTCGATCCCAGGACCCTGAGATCATGACCTGAGCCGAAGGCAGCTCCTTCATTGACTGAGCCACCCAGGTGCTCCTATTACCTTTGTTTTTTATATAATTTATTACTTGTAAGTTTATATAATTTGATTTTTATTGGTGGCTGTGTTTAACAATCGGCTCACAGAACCCTAAAACCTCAGCAGTTGGCAAAGCTGGCTCTAAATCACCTGGGGCAGGGCCCCTGGTGTTGGGTCTGGTACTCAGTAAGAGCTCAATATATGGTCATCTCTTGTGTCCAGCTCTGACATGGTCTCATTAACTCTTCCCGCCTCAGTGGAACTGAGAGAATAGAAAAGTCTAGAAAGGGAAGAGGGAAGAAATGGCAGAAGAGCATGCAAGAGAAGCTAGTGGAAGACGGAGCTGGATCTGGAGGCTCTGGACCCTCCTGAGATGGGAACTTTCTCTAGGAGGAATCACAGTGTGGGGTCCTGGGGCTGTCTGTCTTCTGTGGCTTGCCCCACACCAACCCCCTTCCTGCAGCATGAGACTCCCCCTCCCCCTCTGCCTGGCTGAGCTCAGTCATGTGACCTAGACTGGCCGTCTGGGTACACCTGTCTGGGAATGTGAATCTTGAGCAAGTGGTGGGGAGATAAGATCTCTGCAAGAATAGATTCCTATTGTGGTGAGCAGCAGAGCAGTGAGGTCCTTCCTGATCATTTCTCCTGCCTGGTCCCAGAAGGCCCCTGGGTCCTGCCCAGGGTTCATCCTGCTTCTCTAGCTTCGCTTCGGCTCAATGAGCCCCCTGGTATTTTTTGCGGCAGATCCTCTGGGTGACTTCTGCAATTTCATCCATTTTTTTTTAGACTTGTAATCTGCTGGCCAAAAGACTTCATTCCCCAGCCTCTCTCCAAGCTGGTGTGGCCATGATTAGGTCCCTGCCAAAGGGATGTATACACTAGTATTGGGTGGGACTTTCAGGAGAGTGTGCCATTTGGTCATGTCTCTCTCCTCCTTCCTGTTGCTTGGAATGTGGAAGCAATGGCTGGAGCTCTGGCAGCTATTCTAGACCATGAAATGATCTGAGAATGGAAGTCATGTACGGTGGAGCAGAAACAAAGAGCTGGGGCCTCTGATGAGTTTATGGGGTCTCCACACAGTTCTCTTCTTCCAACCTCTGGACTTTGTTTATGTAACAGAACAAACCCCACTGTGTTATCCCTATTGCAGTAGGGTCTCTGCTAATCACAGCTGAAGCTCTTCCGCCAAGTATGCCTTCCAGTAAAATTCCTTTGGCTTATGACCACCAGGGTTAGTTTCTGTTATGGTAGCTTCATTGCTGAGTCCTGACTGGCTCACAATCAATTTGTCCTCTCCCCCACAATCTCAAGCCCCACATTCTGGCCCCAAGTGCCTTGTAGGCCTTGTCTGCCTTGTCAGTGACCCAGCAGAACCTGGTTCCTTCCCAAAGGACATGACCTCTTACACTCTGTCTATGCTGTGCCCTCCCCAGGGATGTCCTTCCCCGACTGACACAAACATTGCCTCTGTGACAGCATTGCTTGGATGGCTCCATGTCATAATTACCTGTTTACTTGGCTGTTCCCACCAGACCACAACAACCTGGTTTTTAGCATCCTGTGTAGCATGTCCCAGGGGCTCAGCACAAGTGGGCTGAAGGAGGGAACGAACATTGCCGACATGGGAGGTGGGTTACAGCTTAAAAACAAGACCCCTCAATCTCTTCCCACAGACCTGCTGCCTACCTGGCTCTGTTCATGCTTGGAGATTTCTGTGTGTCATCTAGGCTGATTTCCTGCAGCTCTAATCCATGCCAAACACGAGCCTGATTTTGAATGGATGATGTCAGGCTTGAAGATATTTTGGACGTTAACAATATCCCCAAGAGCAACAAAATAAATAAAGTGATAGTGGATTATGCCAAAGAACTCCAAAGAATGTCTGCAGACCCTCTGCCCTCAAAGGGGGTGATTGTGACTCCCCACTCTTCAGGCGTGAGCTTCTTCCAAAGTGTACAGCCTGGAGGCGAGGGTGCGGAGAGCAGCTTCACAGTGGAGACTGCTGACAGACGCAGCCTCAGCTGGGTGATCAAGTCCAGCATCAACAGCCCCACGTCATGTGGATGGTATGAGAGCTTGATGTGATGACAATGTCTCCGTATCTCTGGGGTCTTCCAATAAACCACAAACCTGCTCTAATCAGGAGAAAGCCATCAGACAAATTCCAGCCAGTAGTGGGTCTTCCTAAGGAGCACCCAACCAGCATTCTTCCAACCTGTCAAAGTCATCAAAGACAAGGGAAGTCTGAGGAATGGTCTCGGCTAAAGAGGAGCCCAAGGACACAAGATAACTAAACATGGTGTGGGGTCCTGAATGGGGTCCTGGGCAGGGGAAAGATGTGAGGTTACAACACAGGAAATCTGAATGAACTATGGACTCTAGTTAGTAACAATGCATCAGTATTGGTTAATTAATTGTAACAAATGTATCATGCTAATGGAAGATGTTAATAATAGGGGAAACTGGGTGCAGGATCTATGGAAACTCTACACTATTAACTCCATTTTTCTGTAAATTTAAAACTGTTCCAAAAAAAAATAAGGCCTATTAAAAAGAAAAAGACGTGAGGGAGAAACAACAACAATAATATCTATTATTATTTTTTTAGAGGGAGAAAGGACAGAGAGGGAATCTTAAGCAGGCTTCATGCCCAGCATGGGAGCCCTTCTCGGGGCTCGATCTCATGACCCTGAGATGGTGACCTGAGAGGCAATCAAGAGTTGGCCATTGAACCGACTAAGCCACCCCGGCGCCCCAATAATATCTATTATTTTATTTTATTTTTTTAAAGATTTTATTCATTTATTTAATTGACACAGAGAGAGAGACAGCGAGAGAGGGAACACAAGCAGGGTGAGGGGCAGAGGGAGAAGCAGGCTTCCCGCTGAGCAGGGAGCCCGATGCGGGGCTCGATCCCAGGACCCCGGGATCATGATCTGAGCTGAAGGCAGTCGCTTAACCGACTGAGCCACCCAGGCGCCCCCCCAGTAATATCTATTATTAATTGATACTATCATGTGTCCCTATTCTCTCTGCTTGCGCTGGCTAACTTGGGGGAAGCCAGAACGGAGAGGACACAGCCTGACCCAGGGCACTGAGAGGAGAGAGAGGCAGCCAGGTCAGCCCTGGGTGCCCTCTGACAGGATCCCCGTGGAAGCTCTGAGCACTCTCCCATCCAACCACCTCGGCTCTGACTGCCTTTTCTCTCCTAGACGCTACAGGAGTACGTTCTGGGAGAGAGCCCCACCGCCCGGGCTCTTCACCGCACGCCCCTTGGCCATGAGCAGTCTGAGGGCAGAGCGGGGTCCTCTGGGACCAGAGGAAGAGGGGGCACCGCTGGCATTTCGGCTGCCCACCACCCCTTCCCTTCCTACCAGCACACGCTCTCTCTGGTTTGGTTTGATTTGGGTGAGGCTAAGCCTACCTCCGGGTCCATGGCCAAACAAAGCCGGGAGACTTTGTGGACACTTGGAAAAGGGGCAGATTCTCCCCAGAGGCTGCTGAGGGCACGGGATGGGGCCACTTTGCCATCACAAGGGGAAAACTGTGTGAGACGGGACCCTAGAGCTTCAGGTGGGAGAGCAAGCATCCTTGAGAGATAGGCCTTAGCCAGCCTGACCCGAAGTTCCACGAGTGAGTGAGTGAGTGAGTCTAGTCCTTTTTTATTTTTGTTTTATTTTGTTTATTTGAGAGAGAAAGAGAGAGAGTGGTGAGAGGAAACTGGAACTTGGGAGAGAAAAAACAAAGCTGAGAAGATAGGAGAAGTGGGAAACCTTAAAGGGCTGTCTGTTCACCTTGCAGACACCGGAAAGCGGGCAGCCTTCGGCGCTGAGCCTGACCCCCACAAAATTTGCAGAGAGGACATTGCTTTCGTGGGGATTTAATACTGATCAAAGCAATGATAATGACTTTTGTCCAGCCCACGATAGGAACAAGTCCAGGGGAGCCCCTGCAACTGCATCATTTTTGCTAAATCAGGATGCACTCCCTATTCACCCCGGGGAGAAGGCGAGGGAGCCTCCTCTGGACTCTGTCCTGGTCACCCCCCGACTGTGGGAAGCCAAGGAGCTCAGTCACTGAGAGCACAGCCTTGGAGCCACACAAGCTGGATTCGAATCTTGTCTCTGCCACTTACATGCTGGGTAGACTTGAGCTGGGTAGACATCAGCTTCTGGCCTCAGTTTACCCATCTGGAAAATGCATTTAATAGCACTTATCCGAGGAGTTGTGACAATTAAATGAGATAACCAATGGTTTGGGGCAGAATTTCCCAGAAAATGTAGACCTTTTCTTTTCTAGAGGCTGGTGCAGGTATGTGGGTGCTCTGGATGGATGCTAATTTGAGTGCTAGCTGCCAGTTTTCCAGACCAAAGGGGCATTTCAGGTTAGGAGGATGGGGGGTTGTCCCTGTCCGGGACCTGCTGAGCACTATACAGGGAAAGGGTTTCCCCTCTGTGTTGGGGGAGGGGTTGTGAGTAGTGGGAAGTGGGTGTGAGGCCCAGACCTGGGAGCAGTATCCCTGGAGAGCCCCATGGGTGAGGTCCTGTGTTCCCTGCTATAGGCAGCTTAGCCCCTAGGGCTGAGCCTCCTGACGGGGCCTGGGAGAGGTCCAGCTAGTGTTCTCTGTATCAAAGGGACCTGGAATGCCATGGCGGGGCAAGGAGTGGAGAGATCTGTGTGAGCAGGAGAGTCTGGGGCACCCCTAGCTCCAGCTGAGGATGAACCCACACCTGGGGCAAATTGTTTACATGTCCCCTCAAGAGAGGTGCGCCCACTGTAGGCACCCCTGGGGGGCATGACCCTTCCTCTCTCCTCGGAGGTGTTAATAGTCCCACATTCCTATATCCCTACATTAAATTCCTATGGAAAGTGAAATTTCAAACATATAGTAAAACCTGCCTCAATGGCCTAGTTCTCCTGAAAGTTCAGAATGTTCTCTCCTGAGCAAGGTGCACGTGGTGGTCGTGGCCCATCTTGCCTTTACACTGGCCAGACACTGAAGGAGGGAATCTGGCTTCTGGTCCCTCAAACTGTCCCTCCTTTGCCCTGTTCCCCTCTGAGCATCTTCCCTAGGGGTGGCCCCTGCCCCCTTCCCTTCTGCTCTTGCAGCCTGCCCCCACTCCCATTTCACAGATGAGGAAGTCGAAACTCAGAGAGGTAGAGCGGACTGCTTAGGGCCACTGGGCTGTCACGTGGGGAACTGGGGTGTGAACCAGGTCGTTCAGATTCCTGTCTCTGTTCTGCTGCAGCGTGTCCCTCTTCCCTGACCAGTCTCCTGATTCTTAACACCTGAGGGCCAGCATCCCTGGAGGCCGTGTGACACACCCATATCTCCCAGGGGCACGTCTTACTGGATCTACAAGTGCCCCAGGCACCAGTCTCCTGGATCCCACTTTTTCTCATTCCAGTTTCTCTGTGTGGATCTGCAGTCTCGTCAGCGCCTTGAGGTGGGCAATGATTTAGGCTTTGGTGTCTCCTTGGTGACATCAGCTTCTTACCGTGCATCCTCCTTACTGTGCATCCACTCGCAGCCTTAAAGTGTGTTTCTGTTTCCACTATGAGCAAGTCCCTCCTAGGGACAAGCCCTCATCAGACCAGGGAGGTGGGAGGGTGCATTTCAAGGGGGAAGTGCTCCCAGGGTTTGCGCAGCTGCTTTGCCAATACACAGGAAGCCCTTCCTGAATGCTTCCCACATAAGGTCAGTGCTCAGCCTGTCTGGCGCAGCGCAGGAAGGGGAGAAGCCACATGGTCTTGTGTGTTTTGTTTTTTTGTGTGGGGTCTGAGTGTAGCAGAGGCTGCACAGGGAGAGGGGGGAGTGCATGCTTTGCAGTGGGACCAACTGTGGCTTTGAGTTCCAGCCCTGCTACCTGTCCCATCACTTCCTTTTTCCATTGTCACGGTTTTTACAACAATAAAATGAGGATGATGTTAACATGTCCATGCTGCGGGGTTGCTGTGAGGTTTGGAGAGCGTCGATACAGCATCTGACCCACAGAGCTGAGTAAAATCGGCTTTTGTTAACACTACAGTCTGGGTGGTCCTCTGAATACCCCCTCCATGATCAAGAATAACAGTAACCCATACAGTAATGCTATTGCTAATCAATTACACTTATTGAGGGTATATTGTGCCAAGCACTCTGCTGAGTGTTTTACGAGAATGGTTCATTTTCTCCCCACAACAACCCAATGTTATGGAGGTTCTCTATAACCTCTATTAACAGATGAACAATGACGTTATGCAATCTGCTTAGCGCCAGATCCTGGTGAAGAGTTGAACTTGAACTGGGTCTGCTCCATTGTTCATGGACTCCTGAACCTGAGCTCTCAGGCACCACAAAGAATGCTCAGGGGATAAGGAGGGTCTCTGTTGGACAACCTATTGCTCATTTCCTACGTCTACCTTATCTCCTCTTTGTACCTGTTGGCATCACTTTTTCCTCTTGCCCTTTTCCTGATTTTCTGCTTTTGTTAGGCAGAACAAAGCTGCCCTCAAGAACAGCAGTTTTGAATGCACCATGGTAAGGTTGAGGTAATCAAATGTATCAGTTATCTATAGCTGTGTGACTACGCCAAAATCTAAAGGCTTAAAACCACAAGTATTTTATTTGCTCATGATTCTCTGGTTGGCCATTTTGGGCTGGGTGCAGCTCCACAGTTGTGCTGGTCCGTCTGGGTCTCTGGTGCTGGCTGAATACTTGGCTAGGGCTGGGTGGTCAAGCACAGCCTCACCCACATGTCTGGCAGGTGGCAGCTTGTCAGCCAGGGAGGCTCTGTGCTCTTCTACGTGGCCTCCTCCCCAGGCCTGCTTGGACTTTAGAAGTTGACAAGAAAGCCATACCATCTCCTGCAGCTTGGGGCTCAGAAGTCACACCACATCCCTTGTGACACATTTTCTTGGTCAAAGCAAGTTACAAGAGCTATCCACATTCAAGGGGTAAATGACTAGATTCTATCTCTCGTGGGGAGCAGCGTCAACATGTTGGTGGCCATTTTTAGTCTACCACACAAAGCGCCCCCGCTGCCCCGCCAAGATCTCCTCACTGTAACCCCCTTTGTCCCTCCACCCCTTCCCTGACTCCCACTCCCTTCTTATACTTTAAATAACAGTTTCTTACTTCTCATCACCCAAAGCTGCACTCAGTTACTCCACAAGTATCTCATTATGTGCCAGGGACCCAGAAGTGAACAAAGTCCCTGCTTTAATGAATCTAACGTTCTGGGAGAGGGACACACAATCAAGAAATAAATAAGTGCACAGTGTAGGGCTGTGCAGGACAATAGCTGCTTTGGAGAACAACAGAGCAGAGTCAGGGGGTGGGGTGTGTGTGTGTGTAAGCATGGAAGGTGGTGGGTGGTTCCTATTATATAGAGAGTGGTCAGTTGGCATCTAATGAGGTGACATGTAAGCCTAAAGGACGTCAGGGAGTGAGAAGCTCCACGCAGAGGGAAGAGAGTTCCAGGTGGAGCAAACACTGGGTACCAAAGCCCTGGGGCTCACATTCACAGACACACTTCCTTGCAAACTTCAATGTAGTTTAAAAAAATGCAACAAAGAACCATAATACATTTCATTAAACAATAAAAACATATATAGTAAAACTCTTACTAAGCAAAATTGTTTTATTTCGCCTGCTTCTGTTACAACTAGAGTCAAATTATAGCTTCTGAGAACGGAATGGTGGGTTACCTTTCTGAGCTTCAGGAAGTTCACCTTTCAAAAGGAGTGCGTGCCTGACCTACCTCCCGGCTTGTGGTGAGGATCAAAGTGATACCATAAAAATGAAAGTTGCCCTGCTTCTGGTTTCAGTTCCTACCGCAAGGTTGTCTTTTTTTTTTTTTTAAAGAACACAAATCAGATATTACTTCCTGCTTGAAACCCTCCAAAGGCTCCCTGCTGCTTAAAGAACAAACACCAGGCTCCTAAGGACGCCTTAAGAAGCCCCTGGACGAGTGCATTTTTACCCCCTCCACTGGGTGCCCTCGCTCTGCTCAGCTGCCCTGGGCCTGGTGACTCCCAAGGCCCCGGGGGTCCTCTCCTCCTTCTCAAGCCTCAAGACCAGCGCGCAAGCCCCACATCTGTCCATCTTCAGCCGCCTCCCACAGCCCCTTTCAGGCCATCTTCCAGGATCCAATCTAAGCACAGCCCAGCATTGACTGTGATGCCACTCAACACACCCCTGCGCCTCACTTTCCCTGTGTGCAGAGGGGCCCGGGACACCTAACTCCTCGGGGTGAGCGGGAAGCCTGGCGAGGACACCCGCGAGGACTCGGGCCAGGCCCCGGCCCACAGCGGGGCGCGACAGCGCGGGTTTGGGCCCTGGGGCCAGGCTGCAGGGCGGCGGGCGAGGGAGGCCCTGCAAGGGGGCCGCGTACGGACTGTGGGGGGGGCAGGGCAGAGGGTGGGAGGGCTTCCCCGGGGTCGGTCCAACCCCGCCGGTCCAGAGTGCCGCCGGTGGGACGCCCCCCCCGGGGACGTCAGCTCGGCGGGCCGCCCCTCCCACCCTCCCGCCGACGCTTCCCTCGACCCGGCCGCCACGCCCGCGCGCAGTCCCCGGCCGTCCCGAATGCCCGGCGCGGTTGTCCGGCGCGGTCTCAAGAGCGGAGCCCCGAGGCGTGCTGGGCATGCGCGGGCCGCCGGGCGCATGCACGGTCCTCTGGGGAGGCGGAAGCTTGGCGCGGGGACGCGGCCGGGCGCGCGCCGTGGCGGGGTCGCGCGCCTCAGCCGGTCGCCGCGCACGCGCGGCCC